TTTAACATTTTTCGGTCCTCCAGTGGAGTCAATGATGCTTTTTACCAGCAAATAAGTAAGTAAAGGAAGCAAGTCTACGTTATGATAGAGTTAAAAAAGCATATTAGGAACTAGCACTAGGAATCCGTGGACAGTTTTTGTTTAAACTGATGAAGGAATTATCAATAAACGCAAAAAGCATGGTAATAAATCTGAACCATGAGACTTGTATAAACTTACAGTTAGGTTGATAAGTATTCGAAAACTGACAAAACTATTGTTACCTTATCTGTTTACTATAGGATACTGAAGTTAAATCTAACAAATTAATAAGAAATTTCGGGCTTAGTCGACGGCATTTGACAGACGCTGGGTAAGTCCGTTAGCATTGCAAACTAATGTATGCGGCAAGTACACGTTTTAAACAACCTCGAAAGTGAAAGCCTTTTTTTATTGGCGACACTTGACAATTCCAAGGAGAATATTAAGCACAGCACTATTGCAACTCGCCTAGTTGAAAACTCGGTAAGCGAAACCCGATAAGGGTGAGCTGAGGAGCCAACGTCCAACCGGTTACGACGCGCTGGTACCTATCCCCAGTCGTCTTGACACTGTTTTGCCGCTGAAACGCGATTACCTGGAAAACTATGCTGGGGTGGATTCCGTGCGGACAACGTGCGGGCCATAAACGCCTACTCAGACAATGGTGATCCTCGTCATGCATGGCTTACGAAATATCAGGCGTAAGCTAAAGCGTTGCAATGCGGAACACCAACCTAACGGCATCATTGAGAGTAAATCGGAGGAAATATGGCCTGTAGTCTCGGCTTATTACTGCGTTTCATTCACATAAGGAGGATTCTTTGAATCCCTAAACCACAGCAGGCAAGATTTTCACACAAAGAGAGAGAATAATGGTGAGAACAAAAGGAATAAATTCGCTGAACGCTGATTCACTTAACTAAACGAGAAGAGTATGAGAAATTTATCGACACTGGGGGACAAGAAATGATTTTGGTATGCTCTACCCGTCGACTTTACAAGTTCGAGAGGATCAGGTTGGTTATGGTTGCTGTTCGTGGCACACCGCTAAAGATGTAGCTTATTTTTACGCAAAACGCCCTCCAAAACAATAAAATCGGTCAGCTATGCGTTGACGACTGGAAGAACTGACAGGATGACTGTTTGCTTTCCAGATTTAACAACGTGCATAGCACCACGCCCCATAGGACTAGCAACAAACTAAAAGCCTGATAATGAACTTCGGTTGGTTGTCATTTTCTGTCAGAGTTAGTTAATTTTGACAAGACAAGCAAAGGGGCAATAGTTGCCGTAGACAATCTACCTACGTCAAAGTTCCACGCGTAGTCATGTGTTCGCACGGTCTGAGATTTCTCAAATTACGTCAAAAAACGGCATGCAGGAGGCCACTACTTCAAACGCAGCCGTGTCTTGAGCGCATGCGGTTGTGCAAAACCCCAGACACCAAACGAAAAGCCTCATTTTTGCGTCAAAAAGACAACGGTTCATGATTTAAAAAACTCTGTTTAGAGGCTGATAGCAGTGAAGTCACAGCCAGTGATCCCGGAGATCTGATTTGCATACAGAAGTCAGCTAATACTACAGAGTGAAGACTCCAATGCACTGAGTTGTTGCGTTTAAGCAGCAGTAGTCGAGAGTTGGGAAGATTGAAAGTCTGGTCTGCTGTCGGATGCGGTAATGAGAGCGTTGTGCAAAGTAGTCGCGCGCGTAAAGGCATGGAAACACCTGTAAGGTGAGTGGGTAAGATGCCCACCCATGCTATATAAACACCGTTTTTCGACTCCACCTAGGCCCTCGCTACACTAAGGAGCCACGAGTCATCAAAATAAACACATAAACATGTTGTGTGCAAATGTTGACGAGAAGCAAGCGGATCAGAACTGGACAGACCTTACGGTGCGCTTATGAGTCATCATCTGTTCTCGGCGAAACATACACAATAGGAGAAGAATGTAAAAACACAGCCCCAGTTATGTTGTGTAGGTCGGTTAATGCAGCGCAATGTGATGATGGACAGTTTTGCCGTCACAAACGACACGGCTTACCGTCGTCACGAACAATGAACTGTGGTTACTTCCGATTGGATTTTTTTCAATAAAGGGACTTTCACAACGCTCGCCTTACTCTTGCTTTTACATTCAACATACTTCAGCAATAATACCCAACCAAGATGAGTAAATATGAGCGGTTGAGGCCACGTTTACAAGTAGAAAGTGTGGAAAGTTAAGTGCACACGGACAACTTGTTAATAAGAGTATCTGGGGGTCCATGTAAGTCAGCGCAAAAGAGGAAGGTGAGATCACTGGAATAAGAAGTGCATTGGCCTGATGTTTTAGATTCTTGCTCAAATCCATCATCAGAGACAATCACAGGTAAGTGTCATAAAGGCATAATTAGGGAGAATCTATTGGAACATGCCTCTCAGCCAGAAATAAGACTGACTGCTTCAGTTCGTTGCTACCCCTTCAGATCGCATCCGCTCTACTAGTGTTGCCTCTTTTATTGTTTACAACGAAGAAGAAATCAGTGAATTTCGGGTAAGTTGGCCTTACTCTCGTCTAATTCTCCGAATTTAGCGGCAATGCCGAATCGGGCAGGAGCAATGATCGTAATTACTTTAAGTCCTGTCGAAAATGTGCCACACGCAAACACCCAACTCTTCATCCTCCAAAAAGATCGCAAACATCCTAATCAGTAACGACAAATAAATTATGCCCATTATTCCTGGGCGTTCTGAATAATCATAGGAGAGTCCCGGAACTGCAGGCCAAACAGAAGTACTTGAAAAGCACATCGTTCCGAATTTGGTGAAAAGTTATGTGGAACATAGTTCATCTTCCTGATTAATTCTTACAAAGGGATTTGGCTGATAATACTTTGAATAATTAGAATTTACTGTGCTTTGTACCTACCCTATAGCATAGGGGAAATAATCTAAGAAACGGCTTGAAACAAAAAGCACGCTTACCACGAGAAGCCACTCTAACAGCTTGTGTAGTTTCAGGATACTTAACGCAGCCAAACTCAAGGCAAGCGACACTAGGTAGACGAACACCCGAGTCCGAGTGTCTGAAATGAAAGAAAAGACTCCGCTTTCGATAATTGTCTCAGGTGAGGAGAAGAAAAGCAGCCAGTCGCTGAATAGGGTACAGGACTTCAAATGTCCCAAATTGTTCTGAACTAAATGGGCAACTCGAAAAAATGAATACAACGCGTACTGGGAATAGCGCGGTAAACGTATAGATTCATGCTTAGCCGTTGGTGTTTACAACCAAACTGACGCACCTTCTCAGTTGGCAGGAACAAGATTGAGACGTTAGCAAAAGATGTATTGACCAATGGCAGACAAGCAACAAAAACATGTTTTTGCGTTCAAAACGGCGAACGAGTGAAACATCGGTTTCTTTTGGATAAGAAAGTCACTGTGCAGTCGCACAGATGCAGTCTTAAGGCCGCTACTTACCCATAAGGACAAGTAAAGTTCTTGCATAGGTTTGAACTAAGTATGATATATGATGACTAATCTGATACTCTGGATTTCTGAAAATTGTTATAGACATCGCGAAGAATAAAGGTATAGCCTAAATGGCTTCCCTGTCAAGGCAGTGCCTGAGGACGATCCTGCGAGTAAAGCATAGCGACTTCATCTCAAATGAGACAGTCCGCATCCGCTGCGATCGTA